AATAGAATATCTAGGGTGATCATGCAAAGTGATGCTTCCGTGGGGAATTTCTTAAGAGGGATTAATTTAAAAATGATTTAGGAAATCTCATGTTTTCATACAAACACTCCACAAGAACACTGTGAAGCAAAGTAGCATGCACAGATACTCCTTTGGGAGTATGAGAGATCATTTGAACTGTATTTTCATTAGGAAAATGTACTCATTTTTATATCTGTGCAAGTATTTAGTATTTATCGATTCTACTGCTTTAATGAAACCCTTCTGCACTCAGCCTCGCCAGGTTTATCAGTGGGATTTTTGTCACAGTAAGGATCATAGGACTGGACTGATATGTGTTCATGAACCTCTTTCTCATCAGTTTGCCAATATTGCTATTTTCTTAGGCATTTGTCCTAATTTAAAATTTGAGAGCTTCTGTAAGTTGGAAGAAAATTGAGATAGTTGCCTGTACTAATGGAGAAAAAATTCCAGTAATTTTTTTCTTTTTATGGAGTGTTTTCATTCTGTTCATAAGAAAAGTGTTCTCTGGAGTGAGGGTTAAATGCATTCTTGACACTTGATTCCCTACCCTGCCTGCTGACTCACCATTTTGTTGGCACACAGCCATGGTACAGTTGTGGAGTGTGTTTACCAAGTGCTCGAATCGCAAATGGAGTGCTGTTGGGTTTTCTCATACTTGAAATGGTTGGGAAAAGTTTTAGCCTTCCAAATCAGCTATATCACAGCCTACTTCTTTAAAGCTGAGTTTAATCTTTCAATAGATTTTTAGAGAAAGTGGATTTATTTAAGAAACATCATTTAGAGAGGGACAGTGTCTTTGTGTTCTAACTAGTTACAGCCATGTATGGAAGATGAATCCTACCAGGTCTAATGTGTTTTGGGATATTTCTTTCCAACTAGCATCACATTAGCATGCAGGAAAATAAGTCTATCTGTTTTATCCTATTCCATGTAAATACATGAAAAATATAATGTCCTGTTTTTCTGGTCTGATTAAGCTAGGCACAGCGTGGTGTTGGGATGGTACAGGTATTATGATCACCTTGTCCGTTGCTTTTTTCAGGTGGGCCTGGTCACTGGCATAAGAAACTTGCAGGTTGCTTTATAGTTAATAACTTAAATATTGCTTCAGACGTCATTCCAGGGAGCAGCCCTGTGCAAAGGAGTGATGAAGGGTCATTATGGCAGGAAAACCCACAGAGGGCTAGACCACTGATATTATTAAGGCTTGCTTTCAGAAACAAAGGGAGGATCAGGGTCAAGCAATTGTCGACTCCAAACCCCACACTCCAACCAGTGGGCATGCTGCTGCTGATCAGCAAAGCCATGCTCATCTGACCTTTACCCTTGAAGCAGCAGGGAATCCCTCGGCAGCTCAGCTGGCAGGAGTTTTGAGTTGTTGCTCATTATGAGCCTAATGGGCAAAAAGTGGACTTGGAGGGAATTGTTTGCCAGAGTCTGAGTCCCTGATAAACAATTCACTGCAGCTGCATACAAAATAAACAAATGAGAAGCTAAGATAATGCAGATCTTGAATAATTAGGCATGGAAAGAGTTTTATGTGAATGCCTTTATCCATTTAATGAACCTCTTGTAGAAAGTGAATACCCTTGAGTCTGGTAGGCAGCATATGTAATCGCTAACCAGAAGGCTGGAAGGACAGCAGTATGAAATTGCTGATCTTTTTGGAGTGATAGAAATTGTAGCACTTATTTAAAGACACATCAGAAACACATTTCTGGATGACTGTGAATAACTTACTTCTAGATGATAGTAATTAACTTAATCCTAACAAGTCAAGATTGCTGCTTAGTGCTTAAATAATTTTTCATATAGAAACTCTAATGTTAGATGCAGCTTTTTACCTAACACCTTAGGAGGCAGTGGCAGTTCAATAGCCCCTGTTTCAAACATGGCTCTTAGTTGCAAAGAGCATTTTCACTTTTCTCTTTATAGTTGTTCACCAACATATTTCTGTCTATGACCAATGTATAAAATAAGTTTCACAGATGTTAGATAGTCATCCAGAATCCAAGTTGATAAATGTGACTGAAGAGTTGAGGAAGGTTAAAACACAGCAGAGCATGTCTTTCTACTAACAAGAGTCAGTGATAAAGTTCAAAATGTTGAATTTTATTCAAAATTTCTTAGACACTGCTGTTAAATTTTGAACTAAAAATACGGAACCCTGCCTCCTGTGCTAATTATGTCTTTCTGATCAGTGCCACATTGTTTTTCAAAAAGATAACTACAAGATATTCCCTGCGATATTATGGTGGAGTTTGCTATGGTATCTGTCAACCACTGGGGTTGATCTAGAAGGAACCGAAGTCAGTAGGAGGATCTCCATTGATGTTGGTGGGTTTTGACTTAGATCTGCTGAATTTGCTCAAGTGACACCAGTGCCAGGAAGCTATAAAAGAAAGGTGATGATAGAGTTTAGCTTAGGAGTTACCCTCTGCATTGCTGACTTCTGCTCAATGTGGTTCATGTATTGTGGGGAAGTGTGGAGGCTTAAGTTACAGGTTTCCTTTGGGGTCATGCCACTCCATTTTTGCTAGGAATGGGACATGTCACATTGACAGTACTGTATCTGTCACATACAGCCCTCAGGTGTTAATGATCTGTCCTGGAAGGAGGATATTTGCTTATTACATGGAAATTTACTGAAGGACAGGTGAAATTGAAATTGCTAGGATTGTTCCTGACTCATGAAGTAGCACTATAATTTTTGTGACAAGAATTTGATAAGGATGACATTCTGTAAATTATGTCATGATAAAAACTGTTGTAGTGCTTAAGGTAATTAAAATCTACCACCCCCCAAGAATTAGGGCTGCTTTCTAATAACATATAGCTGGAGATTATATATGCATTTAGATATTCCTTTGTAACCAGTTTGTAGTAGAAACTTGGTTCTTACACTAACAGACTTTGTATAAAACTCTTCATTGTTTCTTGTGCATTTCTGGTCTTTGCTTCATCCTCTGTGTAGATTAATTTATTCCCTACTAAATGATAAACTGTTTCCTATTCTGGAAATGAAAATTCTCTTCTTTCTCCTATAGTAATTCTGGCAGTTCCAGGTGAAAATTATTGTGTCAAGGCAGGTGGACTTAATAATTGGAAATCAACAAAGTTCTAAATGGTTCTATTTTTATTATATGTCTGTGATGAGCAAATTTTGTTAAATCAAGGAAAGCGTATAAATTAAAGCAAAGTGGCGCTAGTACAATCCTAATGGCTTGAATTTTAGAGTGGGTTGTTACTCTGGCTTTCTTAGTAATTTGAAACTCTCTCCATGCTATACCTGTAGATTGGTTTTGAGGATAAGTCAGACATCAGAGTCATGAACAGATGTGTTACGTTTTATTAAATTTTATAATCTTCTGAAGGTTTCATGAAAAATAAGGCACCAGAGAGAGGCGAGTATCTGAAGTTAATAGGCCCAGAATTTCACCCTCTGACTTTTTCCTTCTCAACCAAACAGCCCCCTAGTCTGACTTCTGAGACTTGATTTGCTTTGAACTCCCCAATCTTTAAAATGATGTCCTTCTGTTTTTCTCACGTGCTTTCATTTGCTTTCACTTGTTTCAAAACCTCTCCTTGTTCTTGCCATATGCAATATTGTTTCTGTCTGTTATTCAAAACTCAAAATGAGAAATGGCATGTCTTAGTTTATGCAGAGCTTTGACCCGTTTGAGTACTTTTTATATCTTAAGTGGGATTAATACCTGCCTATTCTTTTCTGCATGCAATTCATAGACTAGTCTTTTGTCTGCTTAAATTTGTAGACCTTCTTTATATATACTTAGTGGGTTCCTCTTCCATATAGTTTGTTGGCATATTAATTTACAGCAACAAGGACTACCATTTATCTTGGTTTACAAAACCTTGACTTATAATATTTGGATGGATTTTTTAATTTTAAATAATTTTTGCTTTCCTTTAAAAATGAGTTATTTAAAATAAAATTAAAATGTTGGCAATCTATGTTAAGACTAAAACATCAATAAAACTGTTAGACAAGAAAGGTGTCATACTCTGTTCATCATGTGCACGTTGCTTAGTCCAGTGCAAGCTACAATAAGTTAATTCCTGATAAGAGTCACCGTAATAAATAATTGGATTTGTTGACTGTGAAGCAAGACTAAATTGCTCAATCCTCTGCTCTAAATAGCTGACCACAGTTTTGACTAACAGTGTCTGTCAGTTTAAAGCTAACCAATATAATTGCTAGAACATAGTTGTTGTCCTTTGAATCAAGTGTAGGTCATTTTTTTCAGACCTTGTTGTATAGGTTGTTTGGGTAACACTGGCTCCCTGTAAAAATATCCTTCCTTTTCTGCCCCAGGCAGAAGTAATTTACAGTTACTCTTCTAATCGTGGGAGATACATGATTGGAAACAGCATTCCTGGATGCTACAGCCAAACGATCACCTTGTATACAAGAGACCCCATGGAAGGATTGCAGGCTGTAACCATGTAGGAGGACCACAGGGTGATCCAGCTTCATGCTGCACCAAGGGGGTTCTGGGCTGAGTCTTGGCCTCCCTGGCAAACACCACTTCAAAATCAAATTCCCTCATGTGGAGCCAAAATACTGTATGCAGCAGTCAGTTCTGGGCAGATATGCTTTAGGTGACGTGCACGTACCAAGTAGTGGAAGTGATAATGGTGGAGAAGGTGTCCTAGAAGTGTATTTGTAAGACAGTTCTTGGCCGTTTTCTTGGATTTGATCATGAAATGATAAATGAGATGGATCATGATGAATGATTTCAGAGAGTTCTTATTGCAGTGTCTGTTAGTGCCCTAGTTTTTGCCATTTGGAAAAAAAAGTTTTAAGTTTAATTTCTCTTTTAAAAAGCTTGTTGTATGCTTGCTTTCTTTTAAAAGGCAGGAGTCTGTGAATAGCTTTATCGTATATAATACAAGGGTCTGTGGCTACTACTTATCACATTCATTCTGATTATGTAAAACTGAAAATCACTGCATTGAAGTGAAGTTTCAATGTTTTTATTCAAAGCAGCTTCTCACAATGTATAAATACTGCATATTAACACACATGAAAAATACAACTTCTAAGGCACCCAGAAATGTGTCCATACACTAGTTACAGGACCATCAACAAATAAATTGTGTACAATTTGATCTAGACAGTCAATATTTGATATATCAGAAGATACAAGTCCCTCAGTACTGTACCAGTTTCAGAAAATATTTACAACACTGTGATATAGGGGTGCCTGTACCCTTATAATATTATAATATGTACTCATCATTACAAATATTAGAAACTGTTTTAGTCTGTTTCATGGTGTCCTGACAAAATAACTTAAGGGCCTAATTTGAAAAGTTCTACAATTAATTATTTGTGCAAGTTCTGAAAATAAATTTACATTGACATAATTTGTGAATTTTTGGTTCTTTGCTTCATCTCAGAGGTTTGGTAATAAGCCTTACCAATAGACATGCCATCCTAGCTGAACGTCACTCCTTTCCCAATAGGTCAGTGGATACATCTTTTCCCCTTACACTTGACGTGGATGAGAATGCAGTGTTTGTAGCAGAAGGAGACTATCTGATCTTCAGTACAAATGTCAAACTAGTTCACTGGCGAAGGAACTAATGCTTTGTTAGAACAATGCAATTCTTTGGTCCTTTGTTTTTATGGAAGGCATAATATTTTTATTCATTAAAAATTGAAATCCTGTCTGTGAGTAAGCAAGCTAGTGAATGACTTTCAGTGTAGTATTTAAAGTAGCAGTAAAGAGATTTAATATGGCTTAAAACATACGGTTAATTGGGCAGACACAGATAACACATCTAGGATACCGAGTACCCAAATGTACTATAATTAAGATTGTCTGTAAGTCTCTTATGTAAACTTCTTTAGTGTCTCCTAAAGAGCGCTGGCTTTAGCCAGATTTGACTTTTATAGACCCAGCCACATAAAGCCTGAGATTGAACTACTGTGGTTGGGAGCACAAATGCACAGTTTATATATAACAAAGCCCATGCTGACAAGTCTACCTATGTTGTTCAAAAGAAACAACCCGTATTATCCTTTTCACGAGAAAAACTTAAGGCCCTGTACTCCGATTTGCTAACTTTCTTACAGCAATTATTTGGGGAAGTCCTTAGTACTACATAAGCAATTATGTAGCTTTAAAGATTTCTTGTACCTAATGGTAAGGCTTATTCACAAATGCAATACATTTATAAATTACATTTAAAACTGTAAAGGCTGGCAAAATAATAATAATAAAAAAACCAAAATAAAACAAACCCCAACCAAAATTGTCTGTTTATTCCTAACATTAAAAGAGCATTTTATTCTAATGAAAAACTATTGGCACAAAACCATTATATTATAGATTAAAAGAACAGTTAATAGTAGTGAAAAAGATTGCCTAAAACGCATACCCTAACCTACCACAGAAATATAAAAGTTTATATTCTGAAAATATATACTGTATTAAAGTTTGTAAGCTTATTCATTTAAACAGAAATGTACTGAAATAGTAAACTAAGCAACACTTATCTACAGCAAAAATATACATGCAGGACAACACAAAATAAATTGCTTACCTTTAATATCTACAAATGCAAAACTGTAGAGTTTTAAAGATTGTACAAAACAATTTACACAAGAATAAAATAACATACTTAACAACAAATTGCATTTATAATCTTAAATACTGTGAATATTAGTAAAGGTACCCAGACTAATATGTACAGTACATCTAGATATCTGAATACCTAGTAAGGACAGAAACACAAGAGAAAATGGATTCTGATCTTTAAATACTGGAAAAGAAGCTTTTGACATTGTTATTACTTTTTATTGAAGGGAAAATAGATTCCATGAAAACTAGATTGTAACTGTATAGATATGAATAATTAAAAATGTTAACTATGGTTAGCGCTTGCTTTAATGGAAAAATAATTATAGAAAATGTATTTCAACCATTCCTTTGTCATAAAAAATGCTAAGATACAGATATCTGAAAATTCAGATGAAATGATGCAGTTTAAAGGTGTAACAACTTATTATTCTTCTCTGTTTGAAAATCTCATATGGAAAGCATATCTTCACATTGCTGAGCAATTTTTCTATATTTATCTACAAAAAACAAGCATAGTATTGAAATAAATTCCTTAATGTCTTATTAACACATGACTAGGAGTTATGGCTCTCTGGACGGGAATAAAGGAAAGAAAGGAAATTGAGGAATCATGGTACTTTCCATTGCTTTTTTTTTTCTTTTTTTTTTCTGAAGTCATATGCTGGAGGCCTGATTGTGCAAACACGTATGCATGTGAGTGGTTTTCACTTGAGTAATCCCTCTCATTTTAATGGGACTGCCACACAGGTGACTCACGTGTGCACACTGGCATAGTAGAGGGTCCTGTGGCCTTGATCCAAGCAAGGCTTTGCACATGCGCTCTGTGGCATTGCTGGCAGGTTGTGGAAATAAGTAAGTGTTAGTATAAAACAAGCGGTGCATCTATCACTTCAAATAGTTATTGAAAGAGTTCTGTTTCAGACATTTAAAAATAAGTTACTTGTTTTGATAAGTTTTTTTGAAAACATTTAAAACAGGCTAATTAGAAGCCAGATTTTGTCTTTTTATTGAAGAATTTCCATGAGAACTTCTGCCTTTAGGGTAATGATTTCCTTAAAATTCAGTGGTACAATTAGGCCATAGAAACAGCACTTTTAATTATTTGTGGAAAAATAAATGTTACATTAATGTGTTGAAGGCTACTGTTTATGATAATCACCTGTTCGTTAACTTCACAAAGGCTTTGTTGAAACTCTTCATGGAAATACTGGGAGGGAGAAAACCTAGAAGCCTCATTTGCAGAGGTTTAAACCATAACCAAGTCACTGAGCTCAAGGATGGAGAGCAAGTGCACAAATTACAAAGCAAACAAATGTGCAAAGCTTCTGCTTCAAGAGGTTTTAATTTGGGCATACTAAAATGGCAGGTGAAGTCACAGAGCATGCTTGTGTTATTTCCATATTAATTGCCTTACTAGCAAGACAGAAATGAGAGCGATCCAGTGTTCAGAAGTCAGTCAGTGTCACTGAAAAAGTACTAGGATCACATTCTAAAATAGCAGATTGGATTTTTGTCGTTTATTGTGGACTGCTTTTATGGATAGCCAGAAGTTCTTGTAACAGATGGTGGGGTGGCCAGATGTGGAGAGCTGGGAAAAGCAAAACAAAACCTCTCCCTCCACTTAGTTCAATACCTAGCACCTTGTATAAACTGTTGGCCCACACCCAAAGGCCTCCAGAGCAGAAATTATCTCACACCTGAGGAATCAGGCAACTAGACTAAGGCTCATAAGGATTTGCTTTTAGACTTCAGACCAAATGGGGATGTTTAAACCTGAAAAAGAGTACGATGCCACATAACGGCACCACTCACCCTGTAACTGACGTCCGGCTAACAGGAATATAGTAAACTTAAATACAGCATCTTGTTGGCAAGCCCTTCAATGCTCCTCAAGAAGGCAGAAAGTGAAGAGAGACTTAGGGGGGACTCACTGTTTCAGAATCCACTTTCTTCCCCTTAACCCTGGCAAATGAATCTATTTCATACAATTTTTGTACAATTTTGCACAGAGGAGCATGCACGTGGCTGTTTCTTTTACTGCCCACAGCATTCTGTGTGTTTTCTATATATCCTTTATTTTTCTACACAATTTGCTGCTAAAAATGTGTTTGCATTCTCATGTGATGCCATTAATTCAGTCAAGGGAAGTATGAAAATAAGATCTGTGATCAATAAACAGCTGAATACAAACACAAAATAAATAAGTTAAATAAATTCAACAAAGAAAAAAATCCTAGTAGTTTTTGTAAAACTAACTTTACATATTATACATATAAATTATCAGATTTTTCCATTACACTGTTAGAACTTAGAAAAAAATAATTAAAATATTTCTAAAGTATGGTGTTTGGGTCTACAAAATATTGTGCTGACCCAGTTTTTAGATTGAGCCCTCTATGTCAGCCCAGATGTGTTGCAACAGCAAGAATAAGTTAAGGACAGACAAATCATTACAGATGGCGTGCCTTATTGGGCCTCAGTGGTGCTTCTCAGCACATGGAATGTATACTTTATCTGGATGAGCATGTGGAAGATGCAGCCCTCTGTAGAGATTATGTGCACTGAACAAGCCTGCCTACGTCTCGGTTACACAAAATCAAACCAGCTACAAGCAGCTGTGTAGCTCACAAGGAAATCGACACAACCATATGTATTAGGATACACTGTCACAAATTCCTCAAGGATGCATTGCCTCTGCTTTTCAAACACAGGTAATGTTTGACTCTGTTCACAAGTGGAGCATTTTCTCTTTAAGTTAGGCCAGGACATCAGACTTCATAAATTTTGTCTTGCAAGTAGCTGAATAATGAATCCAGTCCTTTGGAAGAGCTCCTCACTCTTTCTCATTCACATCTTCAAGTCCGGATTTCAGGAAGCTCCGCACGAGACATTTGGACTCTTCCAATACCTAAAGCCAAAATATTGCTCAGTATTTTATTTTGACTCTGACAAAATTATTATGGATAATGGCATGAACAGCATTTTTACACTACTGACTCTGTTTTACAATCTAAATAACTCCTTTGGGCACAGAAATTAGATCTGATTTATATCCATAACTCCACTTGCTGATAGTCAGCATCTTTAAGAATTAAGGACTTCTGAGGTTTATGCCTTAGTACCAACATTTTTAAAAGGAATGAGGAATTCTGAAACACCTTAGTTCATTGAAGGTCTGCCATGAAGCACTAGAAGGAGCTGAACTCCCTCCTGTTGAAAATGTGATCCCCTGAAATGAAAATGTGTGAGGCATGATATATTGGCTACTTGTTTTCTCGAAGGTAGTCTTTAAGGTTATAGAGGTTGGAAACCCAAATGTGGATGTCCATCATCTTTAACAATTTTCCCTCATGCATCATTCCTCATCAAAACGGAAATGAATAGGAAAGGGCCTTTACCGCAAATACCTTTTTAAGTTTATTTACTTACATTTTTATAAAAGTGAAAGAAAAGAAGGGTGTTCAGCAAAACAAGCACCCTCTGACTGTGTTCTGGAGTTAGATTTGCTTAGCATGTACAAGCAGTCATAAAAAATCACCTAAGGTTTTTACAACGGAAAGACCAATCTCAAGCCCTGAGTAATCGCTCTAAGTTCTTAAAGGCATGAACAGCAGGTCCATGGTTGCTCCCATAGTTCAGCTTGTTTTTCCCAGACCCATTTTCAGACACATTGAGATTGCCTTCTTTAAAATTCTTTTTGAAATATATTAACACCACTATGTATCTCAGAAGGAACGCAACTAGTCAAACAAAACCATTAATAATTCATACATTGGGGCAGATTTTTTGGGGGCAGAAGACAATGTAAACTAATACAGTGTTTATGGTAAGGGAGACGTATACTCTCCACTCAGCTTTGTCAACACCTACATGTTAAGCCCAGTTCCTATCTGTTTTAGGTTACAACACTGCTATTCCAAAGTAGTATTTCTCTTTAACTCAAGTAAATGGTGTTAATTGCAAATCGCAGTGCCTGTGTATTTCTTTGGTCTGTTTGTGAACAAATAGCCACAGTGAACTTGGATGAGCTCATCATATTAATTGTTTTTGTGACTTCAGCCTGATTTGCATTTAGGATCTCAGAGAGTAAATCTAGTCTTTGGCAGTTTTAACTCTCATCTTTGTCCACAAGTTAGCACCAGTCTTCCTAACAGGTCTCAAGAGAAAATTTCATTGGCAGCCAATAACAGTGAAGGAACGAAGAATTCACCGTAAGGTCCAGAGGTTTTCTGAACTCATATAATACACGTTATATCAGCATGATCAAATAAGCTTATTTCCAGAGAGTTTCATTCTGAATGTCTTTTGTGAGATCTAATCTACACTTCATTTAATTAAAAATCTCCTGTGTCTCTACCTTCTCTTTTACAATGGATCTTTTAAATGAAACTGAAGGGTGCTAAGACAGTTTCAGGCATAGGAAGTATAGCAAGAAACTGCAACAATTTGCACTTTACTTAGTGCAGTTTTATTGCAGCCAGTATCACTTTCTTCACTGCATTTTTTTTAAACAAGGATGTGCCCAGAATAGGAGTATATCTGCCTGAAGGGAAAAAAACCTTAGGAAGTAAAAATAGGAAAGGATTTTCTTTCAACTTTTATGTACACAAAAGGAAAGTTATAATACACTGTGACCAGACTGTGTTCAAATCCCTCTGTGTCTGGATCTCACCTCTCCTTCACAGCAGAGGTTAGCTGGCACTATCCTACCCTTCTGGTGCACTGTGTAGAACATTTTGCAGAATCAGGAACTATGCAGGTGCAGAAAAGAAGGCAGAGTCAGCTGAAACATAGTAGGCCAGGACAACGTGAAAGGCAAATATATTTTCTTACTGGCCCTACAGAGATTTCCCAGTACAGTGGTATAGTTTCAGACTCTTCCACCTTCATGACAGAAACCAATGCTAAAATCCTCTTTCAAAATCTGGGGCAAGGAGGTTCCACTCATACTGAATAAACGCAAAGATGGAGAAAGGAAACAACCCTCCCTTCCACTGAAAATGGGAAACTCCACGAGCTCACTGATCCCTATCCAGATTTTCTGTTGTTAGCCCTCTTCCACAGGTATGGCTGTGGAAACTGAGGACCCACCATGTGATGAGCCTTGGGAGCACACCTTGCCTCTGTGAAATGTAATTTAATCATAAAGGAGTTTGATTTCTTACCACGGCACTGCAGGATGCCATTTCTTTCACTCGTAGCATCACTTCTTGGCTAAATGTTGTTGGCCAAAATACTTGTGACACTAGTCCTCTGCTGCAGGCTTCCTGTGCTGTCAGCTTTCTCCCACAGAACAACATTTCATTTGCCTGTGAAACAAAAAGATTACTTGGGTTATAATTCCCTTAAAAAATTTTCCATACTTGCCCGCTATTTTCAAGATTAAATTTACAAATGGTCTCCTGTATCTTTCCATACTGCAAAATACTTAAAAAGGCGTTTCGGTAGCTATTTAAGGATTGTGCAGGTGGCCAGAGCACAGCATGGGTTTCATTTAAGAGAAATGTGCTGGCATGCATGATGAATCTGTATTGCTGATTTTACAAGTGTAACTGTCAGTGATACAGTGATACTGTGCCAAGAGTCATGGAACCTAGTATGAAGTACTTTGTGGGGCAAATTCTGCTTTGTTATACTGGTAAAAACTAAGCAACCTTACTGGAATTAGTATAGCTTGTCTGTAGAGAGCAGAGAGCAGTATCTTGCTCTGTTACTGCACATTCCTAACAGAATACAGACAAGTACTCTGCAACATTATTCTGCTAATGCATTTCTTCCCTTTTCTACCATGATCTTGACAATCTTTGCATCTTCAACCTGTGTTCAATCTTTCGTGTATACAGCATGTGTAATAATATATTGAATTCTGAGGTCATTTTGTGATAAGAAATTGGTAGCGATTAGATGAACTTTCTACAGATTTCATTTCCATTCATGACAATTAAAAGAAACAATTGTTTTCTGTTTTACTTTTTAAACAGAGAAAGAAGAGCATGATTTTAAGAAAGGTTCTTCAGCAGTTTGAGGTGGAAAACCTTACCAGTGCAACACCCAGAATTTGTGGGAATGTGTATGATGAGCAGCCAGCTGGAGTGAGTCGGATTGTTGCGTATGGTGTCTGAAACCATGCCTTCTCACTTGCCCAAACGATATCACATAGTGGTAAAATAGAAGCTCCTAACCCAAGAGCAGGGCCGTTGATAGCAACCACAATTGGCTTCTTAAATTGAATAAAAGCTTTTACAAAATCCCTAAAATAAAAAATAAAAGAAAGATCTTGAATACAGTAACACTTAGATAAATACCCAAGCTTAAAGTACTTAATCTGAAAACAAATTAGAACCACAGATGAACACAATAAATGCCATGGCCCGGTTTTATGAGGTCAGAATTGCAAAATACTTTCTAATTTGCACATGGAAAATTTTGCTCATATTTAATTATTTAATCTTTCTGAGTACGTAGGCTATTAAATAGTTTTGTATATGTTGTATATGAACTGATTAATTGGAATGCACTGGCTGTTGTACTTTTTGCAGAATGGTTTGGTTAGGTTTAGTTTTACTTCTGGACCAGTAACTCATGAGTTTGTACACATAGCGCTTCTCAGTTTGCTCCACAATGGCTAGTACGGATTCTGATGATCTGGTTTGGCTAACTTGATGAACATATTGTAGCGTGAAAGACAGTAAACTCATAGGTGGATTGCTGAATATTTATTTTTTTCAAAAAGTTCTCTTAAGATCCTATGTCAATGGTTACTGCAGGTCCCAGCAATGGATTGGGAGATAGTAAACATTTATGGCACACCAGCGGAAAGAACAAGACCCACAAAGGGGAGTCAGAGAGAGAGAAAAGTGTTTGAACAGGGAAAGAATTAGGTGAGTGATCTGTTGGGTCTTCATTGCAAAGTCTTCGGCAAAGACATAACAAAGTAGATGCCCTGGCCTGCCTACAACAGTAAACGTGAAGCGATGGGAAATAATGGGGAAGTAAATCTGATCGGATTCATCTGGATGAATGAACTAGAACATGTTAAATTCTGTGCAATGAGGAGATATTTTAAATAAGTTACCTACCAGGAACTCTGGAAAGACATCTGTTGAATGGAACAGCCTATATACCAATTAGGGAAAAGCATGAGTGTAATTGTGGGCAAATTATGAGCTCTAGCAGCTCAGTGCACAGCAGGTATATGGAGGCAAACGAGATGCTCAATTACTTTAGAAAAGAGACATGTATAAATCAAGTTCAAAACAAAACAGGAGATTCTGTTCCTGCACTGGGTATTTATTAGATCCAGAGTACATCTTTGCTGACAGATTTTAGGAAAGAACATTTTGTCAAATGTGCCCTTTGATGAGTTGCAGCTCTCCCACTGAGGTCAAAAAGACCTAGACTTCTGTATCTGAGAACAGGAGGTGTGCCTTGCAGGTTAGAGCGCCAATTTGGCAAAAAATGGAAAACATACCAAAGGTAAGTATTTTATTGGACTGAAGTGCAAGGGCATTGGCTGTATTTTAAATGAAAATGAAGAATCTGAGGTGACCCAGCATTAAATGTTCAATGAATGAGTTCTGTTTTTCAGGCTATCTAGTAAGGAGTTGATTTTTGACCATGGGAAAATAGAGGCTTGTGGGAATTGATGGAGCTCTGTTCACACAGTGAGTAATAAAACAGAAGATCAGCGGCAAGACAAAGAGAGTGAAATAAGGAACATCACATTTGTCTGTTCAAGACCATTTCTTTCTAGTCGATAGCAGGGTTAAGGAGAGTTGTGGTTCATTTTATTTTGCAGAAGCAATGCTGTTCCCTTATCTCGTTATTTCTTCAGTTGTTTATGGTTGAGTAATGACTGAGGATCACTGCACCTGATTATTTCCAGAATTCTGAGAACCTTAGTAGTTAAGCAAGTAAGCCTTCCAAGTAGGACTACAGATGGGAACAGAGATGTGATGAATGATAGGTAAAAAGAACAAACTATAGATAAATGGTGGCAGCAGATCTGAGGACCATGTGGAGGCAGAAGAAAACAGTGTTGTGGAGAAAAGCAGGAAGCATGTGGTGATAAATGGGACTGGAAGTGAATATGGAAAGGCAATTAGGGATGCGGAGAGGAAACAGTTAGATGATGGGGAGGAAGAACAAAGCAGAACACATTAATGGAGCGGAAGGGTTGAAGGAAATGTGAAATCTTCATATGAGTAAGCAAGGAAGGAAGGACCTGGACATGGGGAGAGAGTGGAACAGAACATTGAGAAGACACAATGAGCCTCTGTTGTGAGGGAAGGATGGGGAGCACAGAGGATGGTACAATGGATGGGTATGGAACATGCCACCTATAGGATGGAGTGGAAGGCTACAATATTGGGAGCTTACGAGGGGAACAAATGCCTGCATTTGGTCTACAGAAGCTGCAGTGTCCAGCACCCCACTTATCTGTGTTCCCTGTTTGGTACATTATTTGTTTCAGTGAGTCCTCTTTGTACCCAGAGCCTGGCATATTTCTATGCCTCTGAACCGTAAGTTCACACGTAGTTTCTGGGCTAGAAGATCCTTGTTTCAATTCAAGGCAGTCTTTGAAAAGGACTTAAAATTGTAACTGTTGTTGCACAGTAGAGCCAGAAGCTCAAAAATAGGAAAAAGTGTCACATGCAGAAGGCTTTTGGTTTTGCTAGAGGATATCTGGGAAGTTGACCATCGAATATTCTTTGGGATGCTCAGATACCTCTGCATTGTTGCAGAGGTCTTGCTGCAGGTCAGGGCTCATAAGCACGTCAAAGGCTATAAAGAAGTTGAGCAAGTAAAGTCATCCTTCTTTGTTTTCTTCTGAGTACACCCGGAATTTTATATATCGGGTCACATAACGATGCCTGACTGATGATGCGAGACTGATGCTGGGAATGCCTTCCAGTGAGTCTTTTGATTGCAGGGCTCTGTAGGCCACATAGGCACAGTTGCAGTGCAGTCTGTCTGTCCGCCTTTTCCCTGCTCCAGGAGTGCAATGCCTGACACACGTCTGGACGATGGCAGCTCAGGCTGACAGATCTATGTTCAGTACCTGGAGAGAAGCTACAGTGCCACACATCTGTGAGTTGCAAGCCCCAAAGGCAGTGGATGAGGACAGGGGCCAAATGAATAAATCATTCATGTGAGATGAGACTTGGTGGGTATTTAAACTTCAGTTTTAACTTGTGATCAGTATACAAGATCCATACTTTAGAAAGTGGAAACACACAGTAATCAAGATTTTAATTTCATTTTGATTGAAGTCTAACTTGATGTAAAGCAGTGGAGGCAGAGATCCGTTTATGTGTTTTAGGACATCCTAGCCACTGAAAAAGCGAAGTGTACATTTTTTTCTGCTCTTATTACAGTATATTTTCCATGAGTTGAGTCCTTTGTACACAGAAAGCACAGAGTGCTAAATGGAAAATGTAGTGTATTGTTTCCAGAAGTACAATAAAAATCTATTTCCAGTGGGCCTGAAGCCGACATTCTTGACAACGAGCAGTACATTGTACCAGTATTTCAGGAGTGTTCTGTGAGTCCAAGGATGGAAAAATTGAGTATGATAGTCTGACTTATACTCATTTCAATGTTGAATTGATAAGTATACCTGTATATTAGATGTGTGTGGATAAATGTACACATATATAACAATACCAATCTATACAATCTTTACACAATTAATATTACATCTGTATCTTCTAATGGAGTGTGAGTGTGCCTGTGTTTTCAAACAAGAATAGTGATTTTCTTCCCTCACATTTTTTTTGGTTCCACTTTATTAAAAATCCTTCACATTAAAAAAATTAATAAATTAGGATGTGTCCTTCAAAGTTTTTTTTTTTTTTAAATCACTACATGATACTCAAGCATAGCTAGGGTCTTAAAAACATGTCGTAATTTCTTATATTTAAGAAGTACATTTTAAATTCTTTCAAAATAATTACTACTTCGAGAATTTCAAAAGTATTAAACTGAGAATCCAAACTGATCTGTAGTAGTTGTAACCAAGATAATTGGTGGTTAATACATGTCATGTAACAACTAAACCTGATCTTATATTATACTAATATATCAAAAATATTGCAAAACTGTTGCAAAACAAATGATTCAATATTCCTTCATAGAATTGTTGCATAAAGTTTTAAAGCTCTCAGAAGAGTAAAATTTATTTGTAGGAAGTGGGGGGGAAAAAAGGGACGAAACCCTCTCCTGGTACAGACTGGTGAAATACCACTGGCTTTAGTGGAGTAATGTTGATTTATACTGGAAGATCGGCCAAATATGTATGAAGTATACCTTGTGGATAATGGAAATATTTGGTGATATATTGTGCAGATTGATTTGTAGACTGCACGTCATAAACCCTGGATTTCTATTAAGGTAATGTGATATATATAAGGAAAGTCACATTTTAGTTATGAAAATAAAACTACATTTCCATATATATTAAGTAATTTAAGTTTAAGAAAAAGAGTGGAGACCCTTCTAATAAGGTTCTGAAATACAGTGGCAGACTGCTATTTCAACAGAATATGAGTAAGCCATGGATTCCCATTTGTACTGAAATTCATTAAAATGATGAACATTAAAACAAGTAAAATATCTGCCTTTCAGGAACCACTTTAGAACATGAAGCAATAGCTAATTTGGAAAAACAACAACAAAGTTGTATTTGAATTTGGAGGAATGATTTGAAATATTAAATACAGAGAATTGGAATAAAATAAATCCTTATGGATATTAGCACTGGAATAAATGTGCTTTCTTTTCTAATAAGGAAAGGTCCAAGTTTCTTCTTACTAAACAAATTTGTAGGACTATAATTAGAATGCAATCAACACTTAAATATACAACATTTTTGGACCTGATAAATATCTTTATAATCACACACTGCATTTCATAATTTAGAGATCATAGGTAAGCTTGGGTCACCTTATAGCTTCTGCAATCCTAGTGCTTTCCTTTCTTCTGTCATTGGATAACCTGCCAATTAAATATGAGTAATCTAGGCCACTACAGAATACACTTCCCACTGCGCTGAGAAGTAAGAGTTTACTGTCATCAGCTGATGCATTGCACAATGCTCTCCGAACTTCCTTCATGATCTGTGGATAAAGAAAAGTAAACAATTCGACATGCATGCCGTTGCAATATCATTTCCCTAGTTTTACAAACCTTATTGATTTTGAGAGACTTAAATTTTGGGCACTATTAATACTTACATCAATTATATATATTTATATAATTTTAATATTCTTAGAATGATAACACTGAGAGTTTACAAAATATTTTATATTTGGAAGTGTTTTGTTGATGCTTACTAATTCAAGGAGTTTTTAGGACTTGGCTGTTCTTTGCTTATTCTATGGGAAATTCTAGCCAGCTTATGCTATTTGATTGCAATTTAATAATTTCACATATCACTTTTTTATTTTCATCGTGTATATTCAGTATACATCCCTGTATCCTCAGGAACATGGTTATCACAACAATAGCCTATTAACCTCAACAGGTTGTAAGCAAAATCTATAAACCCCAGTTTTCAGTTCTTCAACTACTTTGGTTTATATGACTTCAACCAGAGCAAAGCAGGACAAGAGGACATCATATACCTCAATATGACAAATATATTATTAATTTTTCTGTGGTCAGTGATATTGTTAAAGTCTACAAAAGTTAGAGCAAAAAAGCCACTTGAGAGAGAGACATTTTGACTCTGATTTACAACTACTAATTGCACCATAAATCAAACCTCATCAAAATCTGTATAGAATTGAGCTGCTGGTATTGTAAGAAAATGGCCTTTCATCTGAGCAGAGAATTGTTTTTCTAATAATTTTAAAAAGGAAATATTATTTCATAAACTTCTGATGGGTAACTTCTTGTTTGGTCACAATTCAGCATAGTTTGTAAGCTGTCACTGATTTCAGTCATTTCAGCTTCCCCTCTTCTCTTTAGTGACTTGCTCCTCACTTCAAGGGCCATGATTTCATCTAGTGTGACACCTCCTATGCTTAAACATACTCGTGTCAAAGTATTTCCTATAGACAGGGTCCTGTTGAGTCACATTTTTCTCTTTTGTACTGAAAGATTTGCTGTTAGTGTAAATTTAGGTAAAAGATAGCAAAATGTGGTTGGGAAATTAAATATGGTTTCCACGTTGAGAGAAAACCAAGACTTTTAGCTTGTGATTATTTTTGTTCACTACTTTCTGTTTCCAAAAATTCTTTGGATGTCTGTAGTGCCTTATTTAAGAAATGTCCCTAAACACAGAACAGAAGTTTTGTTTATACCATTCTAGGTAGCCTTTTATTAGAAATCCCGTGACTTATGAGACCAAGCTTGAACTTGTATATTCAAACCACGCAGTGCAATGCTACCTGCCTGCTTTCCATACGTGTTTGCATAACAATGATTGTTACTGGCTGCTGAGACTGGGACATGAGAAAGCAGGTGGTGAACTTTTAGATGCTTCACTTTTGTAAAAGTGCACTTCAGAACGCCTGTAATACCGAGTATGTGACAGTGGGTGGAAGTGAAGTAATTAAAAGCAGCAGAATTTGGAAGTTTATCTGAAATTCTTGTGCAGGTACAAAAATGTCATCAGCGATTTTACAAGTACTGTTTATTCTCAGAGTCTCAGAGGCTGTCTCAGCCCTCAGTTGGTAAAAACATAGCAAAAGCGCATTTTGTAAAGCGCAAACAAAGGGAAAAAAACCCTAAAACCTCTGTTCAAAGTTAAAAAAGAAACTTTAGAAGGTGGTAGATGTTAGAATAAAAAAAGATACATATTTTGATTTTCTTAGTTCCATGTGAATGCCAGATTGTCCTCTTAGTTTATTTTAAATGTTCTCAAAATCTGCTCTTTCTTAGGGAGCATGTTTAAATAATATCAGAGAATACCAGTCAAACATTTTTATATACAATGAGGAGTGTTGTTTTAAATATGATGCCACGATAGGATACTCCATTCAGCAAGTTTCTTTACCGTTCCCCTTCCTCCAGTGATATTTGTATATGTACCATCTCTTTGATGTAACCACTGCTATCCTTCAAACACATCATTACCATTACAAACGTGTCTCTTTTTTATCTTAGTCCTCATTGATTTGGATGGCTAAAGCCATCTAAAAGTATAACAAACTTTTGAGCAAAGGTTATACTACTTGTAGGAAAACCCAATATTCTGCTATCAGTGTTTTTTCAATGTTTTGGAGAGGGTGATATCAGAAGTCCGTTATTAGGAACTGATTTTCCAGATATAGTTGAAAATGGAAAGACTTTGACAGTATTTTGGATAGTATTTTTGAGCAGGAGTGGAAATTTAGTTCCACTGCTCCACTAGTTTCTAGCCAAAGAAAACAGTATCAGAAACCAGGAAACCATAATGTATTGGTGTTTTCAGTCTCCAAAAAGTATTCTTTTTTAAAATATCTGTACGTTTGTCATTAACTTTATCATCACAAGGTGCTCGGAGGCTCATTGGAATACACCAATGCCAGCAAAGTCGATTCTCACTCCCTTGTTTTATGCCATGATTCCTTTGCTGGTGCAGTCCAAAATTCACCTGGTCACCTTGTCCCTCAGCCTAGTTATAGCCAACCTGCTGTCCACTGTAGCTTCCGAATGCCTTGGCATCATGGCTTTCCTCACTGATTATCTGGGTATGGGTATTTCTCTACAGATGTTTATATGATTACAGGAAAGCTACTAACAATAAAATACAGATTAAAAAGATGGTTTGTCTGTAGGGATACAGAACTGTCTATTAACCGGCAGTACTATAAAGTAAATATAATTTTAGTTCAGAACTGCTGTCTGGTTTTAAGTACAAATTTCCATTTAATGCAGTAATGGATTCAGTTTGCAAATGTAGAGATACTATGTGTCCTTAGTTACATTTCTTTGTCAGATTCCATATTCTTTTTCTCTTTTCCATGGTCCTTAAACCTTCCCTCATTTTGGTATAACTATGGCATTTGTCCAATTAAATTTTACTTTTTCTTATGGACCAGATCTAATATTACTATTTGCAGGGTTCCACAGCAGTATTTCTCCAGTTCCATGCTTTTTTTAATTAGCTTTTTTAATGGTCTTTTAGTTAATTTTCAGCTGTGGGGACAATATTTTTATTTGAATGCATTTGACTAAAATTTCTGAGGAAGTATTTACAAAACAGTATGAGCCAGTTTTTTGCTTACGAAAATCTGTTGAATTATAAATTTAGACCAGGCCTAATGCTTCACTTACTGTTTTATTGAAACCCAAATATATAATAAAATTATCACTTTCTCAAAAGTTGCTTATTTTTTTAATCCTGTCAAGAAAATAAGTTGGTTAGTTCTTTAACAGGATACCTCATATTGCAAAATGAACATAAAATGTTTAAAAACTACATTACACTTCTAAGAGCTTATTTTAATGCCTGTCACTGCACGTAGGAAATCTTAAAAGGTATTTGGTGCCCTTTGCTTTCAATATTGCTTACATTCTGGGGAAATCAGGAAGCTGGGAACTTATCACCGTAATTATACAAAGTATCTTGAACAGAAGTCTCTTGTTCATATAAATAGAAATACTAGTTTAAAACGTTAACTTCTCCGAATCTCTAAGGATTCACTGTTGATATTCTTAAAGGTAAATATTCTGTAAATATTACAGTAAACCGAAATTTTAAAGCCATTCAGTTGTTCTTAGAACCTCTTCCACAATCGTACCTTTTTACATAAATACACTTTTTGTTACTTACTGACTCTTTGTGCCAAACAGATCCCGAGTCCTTTCTGTCTAGTAAATAAAGGACTTAGGAACCTGTAAGGCTGGCTTCAGGCAGAAGTACTGGCCAAAAAAGCAATTTGTCTTTGTATGAGAGCAAAAATACAGATAACAAGTAAACTTGTACCTGCATTTTTTTTTTTTAAAGTCAGGAAAAGTTGTAAGTAAGGAACAGTGAAAGCAAACCAATGCTCCAAAATGCACCTGGTAGAACTTCAAACCCTGTAATTCTCATGGCTAGAAATTTGAAACCTGATTCTTTTGTATGAGAAGTGTATTTGAGGTAGTCAGTCTTCAATGAAAACATTAGCTGTTTAGGGTATGCTTTGCATTTAATTCAGGGGAATATTAATTCCTAGCTCTATTAATAGTGTAAAGTAAAAACAGTGGATGGATCCATTTAATCAGTTTGAAACAGAATTTGGATCCTTGAAACGTGCTGAGTTAAACCAGCAACATCATCATTGGAGAAAGAACTTCAGAAGCAGCAAAAGACCCGTGTGAGAAAATGCCCTAATGGAATTCATAATGATGAAGTATTTTACATATCTATTTTAAAAATGAATTTTAAAAGTAGCAAGCCTAAGCCACTGAAATAAAAACAAGCTGTTCAGTTTCATGACACTGGCTTGGAAGTTTTATAAGGTCTTGTAAAACATAAGAAAGAATTTCTATAGTGCTCTGAACATTTTGTAGAAAAAACTCAATTACTAGTGTGGCGCTGAGCCAACTTCAATCAGTGCAAATGCTGCTGGAAGGAGCATCGGCACATTCCATGCACAAATCACATGCACAAACCCACAGGTGTGATGTGGTTACCAAAAACATTGGGTGAAGATTCAGGCAGGCTTCTCTAAGCTTTTTTCTTTTTTTTTTTTGTATAAATAAGTTCTTCGTTATTTTAATTAAATTGGCATAAATAGCAGAGGCCAATGGTTGAACAAAACTATTAAATTTCATCTGAAGATTAAGATAAAGCATAAAGGGGAGCAGGGTTGTTTGGGGGTGAGAGTGATTTTGTATAAGCTTAATTTTATAATGATTGTGGGCAGTGCACACCTTTTCTTTTTTTCCTAACATAGATGGCCGAGAATAACCAGACCACTATTTTAACCACACCAAGTAGACCTGCTTGAGTAAATTAATCATTGACTATTTGGCAAACGTAATTTACTGAATGTCTAATAAAGCTTGAAGTTAGCATTTCTTTTGACAAAAGGAAACACACTTTCTTTGTTTTGTAGGAGTTTTGTGTTTGTACTTTCTATTCACTGGTGATAAAAGGGGTCACAGCTGAAAATGTTGTAAATCTCCCTAAAATACTCTGTCAGTTTGTCTCACCTATGGCTACGGGTGACAAACTGTAGGGACAAGGCATTCAACATATTCCTCTTTTCAGTTCCTTGGATTTTTGCTGTAATTGCCAGCAGGGATGTGGAATAACCAGTATCGGAGGTGCTGGATGTTGTGGTGTGAGTGATCATGGGCTGCAGCCTGGACCGAGGCCAAAGAAGTCATTTCATGTTTGCCAGCAAGCAGCCTTCAGAGGGCAAGAGCTTTCAATTGCTCTCAGCCTGCATGAGTTTTAAACAGACAATCTCAATGTGGAGAACTTATTACTTTGATTAATTCCTGACCATCCAGATCCTGGTCAGTAATGTAGTTTTCTAAAATGTATTTCCTGTTTTTTGAGTGAGCTTCAATAAAGGTTCTAGAAATAGTCTATGCCGGTGATGCAAGAACAGGACTATTATATGCTTATCATTTATTCTTCCACAGAGGTGGGTTCCCAGCATATTGAAAATTTTCAGAGAATGAAATGGATTGGTTTGGCAGACCTGAAGAGCCTGAATTAATTCACTGGTTAGAGCATTTGAATACCGCTGATGTGGAACAGCACAGCCAGCAACGTAAAGGTATGTCTGTTCAGCCTGAACATAGTAAGTCCTTGATTTCATACTTTTTCAGGCCCTTGAGCTCTTCGTTTAAATTACCTGCAGTGTCAATTAGTGGTAATTAATACATGGATGGAATGATGAATTTGATGCAATCTAATGCGTTTTAAGGAATTAGTATTAAAAGCAGGTGTTTGGTGTTCTGTGTTAATTACCAAGATAGTCCTTTTAGATATCATATAGTTTAAAAACTAGGAGTGATAAATGTATGTTCCAACAGTTTTAACTATTTAGTATCATTCTGTGTATTGATGTCCGTATGTAGGTGTGCATTTGGGAAGGGGAGTCAAATTTAGAGCCCATCATACCTGCCACTAGTTTTATCTGAAGCTCATTATAAGCAATTAATTTCAAAGTTATTCAGTTTCTTATTGAATAAAATAATTCCTCAAAGCTACAATCTACTTTTCCCCCAAGTATTACTCAAACTGATATTTCGTATGCTCTTACCTTGAAGTTACTGTGTAAATCAGAGCTGCACTGGCGTGTCTGGAGAGTAGCAAAGGTAGAGATCTGCCACAGTGCGGGCAGCTCATGGAGGAACTCTGCCTGCAGAATACTCAGACAGGCAAAACTGGTGCTGGGAGGCAGCTCCTCTTGTTTCCTCTCTGATCTATGGTAACCCCTTTCCATCAGGCCATTACTGCCCACGTGGAACAAGGCTCAAGCATGTTCTCTGCTCTCCAGGACATGCATCCTGATGCAGGCATTTACTGACACCCCTGTTGTTCTGACACGGGAAAGGTATACTGGGGCATTGCTGCCCACTATGCTGGGATCACAGGGAATGGAAGGAAATCTCAGCCCTTCCAGTGACCAGTGTACTGGAGTAGTATAAGCTACAAGTCCAAGTGTATAATGTTTGGAACAAGGGAATTCATTAATACCGTTTATATTGTATGACTTTATGCAATTCAGCTGAGAATAGAGCCCCTAATAGGTTAAGATTTCATAAATAAGGACTCATAAAGTGATTCAGGGAAAAAGCAATTAGGGATCAAGATATACTTTTAGAATTACTGTTTCAGGATATAGCCTGAAATTCCTCTGTACGCAACAACTGGCGCACTAAATTAATAAAATGAAAGAGATCAGATTTCTCCTAAGGATAGTAAATATCAGTAACTTCAACATGTGAACAACTGCTTCACACAACGCCATGCTGGAAATACCGATTCTGCCATTCCTTTCTTTACTTCTAATTTCCGGTTTCAGACATGTAAATTAAAAATGAATTTCCATTGCATTCTTTCTGATAGGAATCCCAAGTGTGAAAAAGTTAGACATATCTGAACTCCATATTTCTTTTTTATGATAATCAATTAGGATAAAAATACATAAAATCCAGTTCAAGTGCAGTGTTTCCAAGATAACCCACACATTAGGATGGCTTTCTTTGGCTTTTATGGCTACATGCTTACCTCTGGGGTCAGTGCATTGTTATCTGAAGTCTGACTCGACAGCAAAATATGTGTGAAACCATCTTCTTTCCGGACTACAATGTCCCTGAACCGGCAGTTACTTTCATTTTGACGCACGCTGTATCTTAGTCTCTTATCGAAGACATAATCTTTCTCCCCATCTAGTTTCCTTTTCACAGTGCTGTGTAGATTCAAGCTTCCATTGGCCAGAGAAGAACCTTTCAGATGGAAAGAATCAAAGCATAATTATGTCTATACCTTCAAAGAAATGGAGCGATACTTTCTATTAGCTTAAACATAGCTCGATATTTACAATAGCCTCTACGTGATAAATTTGATAAATCAAAAATATGCCTGGCTAGTCAAATGTGGCCTCAAGCCATTCTTATTATTCTATATTCCAACACACAATACTTTTTGTTCTCTGATCAGACAACCTCTAGATCCAGTGAATTGTAGCATGTAGGACTGGTACTCTTAACAGGATTCAGTTCTGCTTTGAAAACGGCCTCAAGTTGCGCCAGGGGAGGTTTAGATTGGACATGAGGAAAAATGTCTTTACTGAAAGAGTAGTTAAACATTGGAACAGGCTGCCCAGGGAAGTGGTTGAGTCACCATCCCTGGAAGTATTTAAAAGACGTGTAGATGAGGCGCTTAGGGACATGGTTTAGTGGGCATGGTGGTGTTGGGTTGACGGTTGGACTCGATCATCTTAGAGGTCTTTTTCAACCTTAATGATTCTATGAAAGCAATTGTATCATGGTCTTTCGCATGAATTTGGGGTGATTCCTGAATTCACAGGAAAATACTAATTCAGCTTTGACATGACAGGTTTAGTCCAAATCCCATCTTTCAAAGTTATATTTTCTTCCTTTTATGGTGACCAAAAAGTCATTATCAGTTTCAAATGACAATCTGAATAGACACTTGTTGCACATCTCTATGTGACAGTCAGTTAGGGCAGTTCTTACTAAGCTGACACAACCGGCATTCTCTTCCACATATCCTTGTGGTTAGCGTTAGAAGTAGCAGTTAGCCATCCTCTTTGCGCTGATCCCAAGCTTCTGCTCATTACATTTTACAGTAATGATAATTACTGACTTTCGACTAACAGATAAGATATTGAACTTTGTACATAGAAAATGTTAATGCTGATGCCATTTTGGAGGGTATCCAGCAGTAGGAAAAAAAGGGAACTATGACAAGAAAGATATAGTTCCTCCTTAAGAATGAATGAGAGTAATAGTACGTCAATTTTAAAAGACAGTTTATTCAGACTCACACTGTGTATGAACTGTAAACTATTACTTTGCTTATGTTTACAGTTCCTCTGTAATAGGCAATATATTATGATTGGTAACAATGCTAAACTGGAATGTTGAAAATATCTTTACACGATTTGTATGCAATACTCCTTTTCTAATTACAGATGTTTCACACTATTGCTATTAGAAGTAAAGCAGAGACAGGTTGTTGAGGAACAGAGATTAAAGTAACTCTGTTCACTGAAATAGTTTCCAAATCTGTTTTTTGTTTAAATACACGAGCCCACAATACACCATATTTAAGAAAGGCCAAGAAAGAGCTGAATGAAAACACCTTTGTTTGTTCTGTTCTTTACTGCCAAAGCTGACCCATACCTGCTTCTGGTATCAAATAGCCAGGAATTTTTAAAGGGCAGATGACATGAATATTAGAACATAGATTTAAATTTTGTAGTTTATATGACCACCGTCCAATTAAAAATGCTCTGTTGGAACAGAATTGAATGGTGAATTCGTAACAGATTACTCTTTAAACCAAAATCACTTACCCTCATTTTGGATTAGCTATGTTTCAACCTGATGTTTATGTAGGTAACTGAACTGTCTGATACCTCTTAGTTGGCAATGGCCTGTGGAATTGTTCACTGTGCGAAACGCCTGTATAGACACTGCAGTTATGATATGTGACGTTAAAATATATAGAGTGCTTAATAGTATTTAACTGGTACTTCGTTTGGCCTCATCATGTAATGTGTGCACGTCTGTACACATATATCTACACACAGAAATGCATGTTTGTTAAAAAGTCCACTATTTCAGTCAATCATAAAACTCTTTTTCATTGTTAAATTAAGAGATACCATCGAAAGTATCGCCTATGCTATACTGAATAGAGGATTTAACTGGTGCAATGAAAACATTGACAAATTACATTAGATCATGAATTTGAAGAAAAAGCATTTGAAGCCAGCAGAATTTGAAATTTGTTTTCTGGACAAGAATTATCTACAAGTGTAGAAATTACCATGTGCTTGAATTTTGAAATTATGAATAATTTCTGTTGGCATGTTTCTTCTTTTTCATAAGGTTTTCCTACAGCATATATTTTGACATGTGTTCTCACAAACAAAAATCAACTTGTGAAATTACTAATGGAAAACTAATAGCATTGGGAATAATATACTGAAACAAATTAATTATTTGACTGAGGCAGACTTTTAAATATTGCATTTTTATCTATTCAATCCTTACTATGTTGCTTGACCCAGCAATAAACTACTAAGATGTGAAGAGTTAAATCTCTCAAAAAAGTGTAAAGAACTTATAAAATCAGAAGCACAAATGAACATTGAATGGAAAATGTGTCAGACTAACTGTCCTGATTATCCACCTAGCATTGAAGATTATGCCACATCGATTTTAAATACAGATGGTAAGAGAATGGTAGAAAATTAATTCATGCAGATAATCCAGCTCAACAAAAACCCTCATAGTAATAATTTTACTTTAATTTTTTGTTATATCCTTCTTTGTTTGAGTAATGTATTCAGTTTGTAAATTAAATACATAAGAAACTATAGATATTATAAAAATATTTTAACTATCTGCACACCAGCTGACAGAAATTTAACCAGAGGAAAGAAAGATCTAAACTAAATATGAGAGAAACATAAATGGAAAAGTGTCATTTCCAGGGATGGGTGATTAACAGAACAACATATAGTGAGTAAATTGTTGTTTCAGTGCATACTGTGCATCCCGTAATCTTGCTTAATCTGGTAAACTGGAGAAAATGACCAGCAAAATCCAAAGACAACACTCAAGTGAAACCAGGCCAATTTAGCACGTCTGTTGCATGGATGTGATGGAGCTACTGAAGGTTTGCTCTGGAGCCACTAAAGCATCCAGATTGTCGCTGCATGAGGGTTAGTAGTTAGCACCTGCTTAACGCAGACAAGGGTAACAGTACCTTAATATGTCACGATGAAAAATGACTGTGACATAGGGAAAAAGGGGCATTCTCAAAGCAATCTATACTGCATGTGAAGCAAATTAAGGATGTCACAAATTAACTAAGGAAGCTTTAGGTACCTCTAAATGTGGTTTACTGGCTTAGTAATGAGTATTTGATGCTCAGTCTAAGTACAAAAAGAAAACAGAACAGGAGAAAAGATTCCCTCCTTTAGTGGGAGTTTAATCCAATTATTACCTTGTTTTTAATCAGCAGCAGAACTTGTGGAATACCTAAAAACATACTGATGTTTAGAAGAAATTTCAGTATTTTTTAAGGGAACTTCAGATATTCCCAAGACCACTGGTGCATCTAGTAATCCCTCTCCAAGAATGGCAGTAAAGGATGTTATTTAAGGAGAAAACGCAAGCTTGGCCACTTTCTGCAGTCCTCTCCCCTAGTATCATCCCTAATGTATAGCAATATGAGAGGATTCATCCTTTCTGTTTCCTTCAGTATTTGCTCGTGGACTTTTTCATGGATTTCTCTAATCCTCTTTCGAGCCTGTTGATGCTGTCTGTCTCCACAGCCTCCTGTGGTATGAGTTTGAGAAGTTGTGTAGCCACTACACAGAGAAGAATTTTTTTTCATCTGTGCTTTTATCTGATATTCTACCAGTTTCAGTGAGTGGTCCCTAGTTCTGTTATTGAGGGATTTAGTGAACAACAGTTCTGCATTTACTTTATCTGAGGCCTTGATTACTTTGTAAACTTTGATCATATTCACCCTCAGCCTCCCCCTCTCCTAACTGAAGCCTCTTGTATACTTGTAATCCTCTTCATTTTAGTTGCCTGTCGCTGTATCTTCTCTAGTAGTCCACTACTGTCAAAGGGGACAACACCTAACGATGTTACTGCTGCTGCTGTTGGTACTAGAAAGTGCCTGAAGACTCCAGATTGAGCCTGAGACTGGGGCTCCATTATACTAGGCATTGCAGAAAACACATTAGAAATTTATAGTCTAAAACGATGAGGCAGTCAAAGAGTAGGAGAGGAAAGAGAAAAGATTGCAATGAGCCTCAGATCACTCAATGCTTTAGAGGACTCGGATCTCCCCATCGCCTTCCACTGCTTCTACTCACTAGAAGAAGACACCTCAAGCTACTGTTATTTTCAGATACATCTTTTCTTAGTGTTTCATCACAGTCAGTTTAATGGAGCAGTCTCTGTGCCACCATGCTATGTAGTGATCCTTGTGCAGGTACCAGCATGCAGGTGGGTAGCCATACTGGGAACTGACCTGATGAACTGTTCTGGCTGGAAGCTCACCCTGCAAAACTGTGGTTAATTTTCAAACAGATCAGGTTCACCTTGTAGCCTCCAGAGTACTAAAACTAGTGCAGGGAAAGGGATGGGAATAACGATCAGGGTATCATGGGATGGAGGGCTGGACTGTTTCTTTTGTTAGCAGCATGCATTTATGCTGAATGAAAAGCATCATGGAGCTAGGGCTTTAATTTTTCTAGGTGAAATAAACCATGCTCCCTTACTCTCCCTGGTAAAACAGCTTGGCATTCCTCAGTATTCCAAATAGCCTTTCTCTGTCTCCTTTCTGTCTTTCTTGTGGGTAATGGTTAATACTGTACATACTTAAAAGCAGTGTTCTGTTGATAATTTACTAATAATTTCAGACTTCTCCAGCTAAGGGAGCATCTGTAAGATATCTAAAAGCAATGAGTTTTTATCCAAATTGAGAAAGCAAGCATATTTGGGTTGTCTTTTACTGCCAGTATTGCTCCAGAATAAATAAAACAGAACAAGCTAAAAAAACAAGAGGAAGCAGTGACTAAGTTCATAGAGAGTATTTAAATTAAGGGCACCATGAGACTACAAAGATTTTCCTAATGGAGAAAAACAGTGGTTAGTGATACATGACAAGCAAAAATTTTTCAGCAGATGGTACAGAAATAGAGTGGTGTAGAAAAGGGAAAAAGAAAATTAGAAGGGGATGTTTTTTGGTGCTGTCAAGAAACTTGACAAAACAATCACTCTCAATTACAGTATCTGGAGAGAAACAGAAATGTGATAACAGAAGACAACAAATACCATCAGAAAGAACGGTATTGTTAGCTCCTGGGAGCATCAGTGGATGTTCTCCTGCAGAGTTTTTCAATATTTTCCAAATTGCAGACCCTTATATAACTGTCAGTAAAAATTACTCTACTCTCCTTATGACGGGATGTGTAGAAGGTAGAAGAGAGGTTTTGGTAAGAAGGGTCTGTCCCAACTTCAGCAAGGTTCCAGGCCTCCACTAGAGTGCATATGCATATGCACATGATTTTGTGCATACACCTGTAGGTATACAGTCATCTTTCTGGGGTAAATAGCTTACTGGTGAGAGTTTTATCTATAGGTTGAGCGGGAAACACTGGTACCCAAGTGGATGTATACACAAAATCAAACACAGACTGGTGGAAGTCCGTTCAAGGAGTCATCAAAAACTAGGTTTCAAATAGCTATTATTTCTTTCAACAGAACTGGCATACCACAGACAAACAAAATATAGATATTTTTTGAGCAGTTGTAGTTTATAAATTACTAATTATATTGCTTGGTTCAATACACTTGTAGTTAAACATTATTATAATATGAAAGAATACTGGTTCAAGTTGATGGGTTTTAGAGGCCTTCAACCATAGGCCAACACTAGTAGCAGAGCTGGGCCTACAGCTGGGTTTTCAAATTGTGGGGAATATTTGAGTTTTCCAAATCTAGGCTTCATTTCAAGATAACTTAAAATTTCTATATACATTTTCTGTGCAGTCTTACACTTAGCTGTGAAATGAGTCTGACACTCATTTGGGCTTCATACTGGCAATCTCAAAACTGACACAAATGCCTGTTTCATCAGATTCTGCACGGGGCTGCCTGGGAACCACAGCTTCTGGGAGCCAAACCCAGGTCCTCCAGGCTCCCTCTTTGTTCTACACATAGTGCCCGGGAGCCCTGCGAGCGTTGATGGGGCATGCCGGGCTTTCGACTTCCAGACTCTGTGGCAGGCTGCCTGAAACCTCTGGCATAGCTGGCTGCCTCAAAGTCAAACGTGGGAGTCCTGCCAAGCAGACTGCCACATTGCTCCCGGTCTCAAGGGACAAAGCCTTGGGACCTTGGCTCAGATTTGGAGAAAGTTTTGAAACCCAAGATGTCTGGAACAAAACTTCTGTTATTCAACAAATTGGCATTTTTCTCTGAAACTTTCTTCATTTGTAATTTGTAAAATTTCAAACCAGTTTTAGTGGACATCTATCCTGTTTAAAATGAGTTTGATACTAACAGGACACACGGCAGAATCACACTGGCATCTTCTGTGCTACTTCCCTGTGAGTGTGAATGCTGAGGGAGTTCAGTAAATTGTTGGAGTTGTTGAAGAGTAGTGCAAGTTTCTTCAATTTGACATTTCAAATGATGCAAAATCCTGTATCAGGAAATGTGACTTCTCTCAAGCTTGTAGGGCAATATTAGGAAAAAAACTAGTATTTTTATTTTGACCCTTCTTCACCAGTTTCTGTCTGCTCTTACTTTGGTAGTCTCATCTCTCCTCTTTGTAGTTTTCTCCACTATGCATGTGCTGGGTATCACAAAGCAAGACTGGAGGGATTTCTGACCTTGGGAGTGCTGCTGAGTATGGGTTTTTCAGAGGAGAACCAGGTAGAGATTGAAAGATCTCTTGCTTTTGCCTACAGGGAGGTCAGAATGCAAGGGAGAAAGGACAGCAAATTACAAAATACACGTGATGGATTTGGAGAATGCAAAAACCCTCATAAAGAAATGTTTTAAGGGAGCTGCATATGTTAGGCCAGGAGCGCTCTGTACATGGCAGAACACCTGGCTGCTTAGGCAAAGCAGCTTTCTACTGAAATAGAGCTCTCTTACAGGGATTATTCAAACAGGGGCTGGTGGATGCCATTCGTTAGCTCTTGTGGGGACAAATGAAAGGCTCATTTGACCTTACAGTTCTTTGTGGCCCTTTAGTTCTTCATTAAAAAAAAAGACTCTAAAATATAGGAATTAATGCATTTTAAAGATGCATTTTGTATCAGAACTTCCCCAATGAGTAACATAAAACAAATGATTAAAAAAACTTCATTAGAAACAGTAAAAAAGCAAAGAAAAATAACTTTATATGCAATTGTAATTAGATATGCAAGTCTTTTTAAAGAGGCAGGTAACTTTTTAAACAGTCTTATATGAGCTCAAACTCATCAAAATACAAAAGCTTGCACTCTCAATTTTAAGTGTCATTGACATCATCTGGGCTACTTATGCATTTAAAGCTGCCCACACATTTTGCTGGTTTGGGAGTCTTTAACAAGATATTTGATGCCTGGATTGAAAGATCCCAGCAGTTACAGGATGTAACCAGTAAGACTAGGCAAGGACAGTTCTACATCCCAAATCAAGTAGCATTTGCTAGGTTGCCAGTAGGGTGGAAAATGGAAAGTGGGGCGATATAATTTATGTTGACTTTTGAAAAGTTTTTGGCAGGGAAATTCACAAGAAGCTGTTAAGGAAATGAGTGCTATCATGGGCTATGGAAAGTGGCTAATAAAAATAAATAATTGGAACAAATGGTTACTCTTCATCATCTCAAATGATTAGTAGTTGGCTGCCCCAAGGACCTGCACAAGGATTAGTTTATTTAATGTACGTATTAATGAACTGGGAAGAGAAGTATGAGAGGAAAATTTGAAGGGAATACAAAATAAGTAGAGTAAAAACTAGGAAAGAATTTGAAGAGCTTCACTGAGTCATAAGAAAAGGGTGAATTGGCAACAGTAAAGCAGATTAAATGCATAATGAAAAGAATCATACATATAGCTGTGTTCTAAATTAACTGTAACCAGCAAAGAAAAAAACCCTAAGAGCAACTGTGTATCACTCAATGAAAACCTTTACGCAGTGTGTAACAGCAGAAAAAATAATTCTCAAAAGGTTGTATCGCCACTATGTCAGTAAGCAGTAGGAAATCATTTGGAACAGCTCCTGCTGTTTTTAAAAGGTATTAAAAAAACCCCCACACACCAAAGGCACAAGAGGATACTGAAAACTACCAGGAATCTGGAAAGACTTCCACATGGTAGGAAGGCTAAAAAGGCTGGGGCTGCCTACAGATTGACAGGATGTCTTCCTCTTTATCCTTTCATATAAGGACAAGAGCTTATTCAATGAAAGTAAAGGTCAAAAAAAGCCCAAACAAAACCCCAAAACCAAAAACCTGATCAAATAAAATGCGCATCTCATTGTTAGCTCCTGGGAATTACTGTGACAAAGCACCATCGAAGCTTTAGGTTTGACAGAATTAAAAGGAAAAAAAAGATTGGACACATAGGTAATGAGAAGCTACTTAGTTGCATTAAACTGCATAGTATTTATAGAGAACATAAACCTTTATTCTTTGAGAACTAAGCCAGTCAGTAACTATGAGGATTAGAAAGAGATTTCTCCTATTTCTTCTCGTTCACTTCAAGGCTGTTTGTACCTTCCCGTAAAGTATGTCTTTCGACTTCTGATGTATCCAGTCACTGTCAGAGACAAGGACCTGGCAGTTCTGAGTACTCCTGAATATGATGAGCAGTAATACTGAGGAACTCGAATGTTATTCAGCCATACTTACCAAGATACCTCAGCAAAAGTGGTATTAATTCTGTTTCTAAAATAATCCTGATCTTTCTAGACCACTGGGTCTGTGCACACATAACTGAGAAGTGATTTGTTACTTGGTGATACACAAAACCAAAGCTGCAGTATTATACATACCTCCGTTGTCATTCCTACTCCATGCCTTGTCATCATTTCCCCACAAGAACTTTACACTGCAAAGGCATGTAACAAAGCCCACATTGCTTCATGTCACTCCATAGGAAATGGAATGAGAGAAGCCAACTGATAAAAAAATGGTATAATATATGGGGAAAGAGCTTCTCACCATATCGCTTGTATAGCATGACAATGATTTTTCCACGAGTGGACTCTCTGTTTGCAGGTGCTGCAATTACCACCCCCCCGCCTCAAAAGACTGTAGTTTAAATCACGTACCAATTCCATTCACAACAGGTGAATCATTACTAACTTCCAACACGCTGGGCAAATTTTGTTCTCCTTCATGATCATTTAAATCCATATTTTGCTGTTGTGAGCCATTCCCAAAATGTCTGGAATCTTTTTCATGACTGCCATCTCCATTCTGCAGACCATTATGTGGCTTTTTCAGTGGCATGATCTGTAAACCGCTGGGAGTAGTTCGGTAAGTCACAGTTTTAGCAGCCCTGTCATTAGCAGATGCTGGCTTTGCTGCATATCCTCTTCTCTGTTTTTGAAGAGATGGATTAATTCTCTTCCTTTTGTGTGTTGACCCTTTAGACTTCCCAGATTCAGAAGGTCTATGTGATATTTTCTCAACAGAAGACCCTCGGCTTTCCCGTAAAAATTTTGGAGCGCTGGCCTGTTTCCCATGTCTTGATCGCTTTTCTCTAGTAACGTGTAGTCCATTGAATTCATCAATAAATTCCTCACAATGTAGTAGGTGATGTTCAGGCTCCCAGGTGTCTTCATTGCTTCCGTAGCCTTTCCACCTGATGAGATATTCCCATTTGCCCTTCTTGTTCTTCCTTTTGTCTACAATCCTCTCCACCTAAAAGAGAAACCAAAAAAAGTATCGTATTAGAAAGAAAAATAGTTTGGTCATGAAAACGATGTTCTTAATTTAGAGCTAGGAAGGCCTCCTTGACATTGTAAAGGCACCTTAGTGTTCATGAGATTCTCCTAAAATGCAGTGCCTAAAACATGAACTGACTCTGACACGGAAAGCCACCCAGGCTAGCCAAAATGTAGCAACCTATTTTACAGATTTAAATCTACCTTATTTTCACAGGATGCAGTCCAACACTATATTCCCATTGGATCCTATACAGACCATGCTGACTGCTGACGACAACCTACTTGGTGTGTGTATAAACCGCTTGACGTAATGTTTACGAATCAGTGTTACGTATTTCTGTTTGACAAAGAATTCCTATGAACAGACCTGGCAATACAGGAGAGGAGTGCAGTAGCCCCAGTGGTATTTTGACAGCAAGGCCATTTCCCCTTCTGAAAACATTAAGAAGAGACATAAACACCTGATCAAACCTGATCTGGGAACCTGCAATAGCCACAATGTGAAGAAACGAGAGAGAGCCTGAATATCATTAATGAAAGCACGGTTTCTTTGAAAATCTGGCTGTAAAATGAGACAATTACTGTTACATTCCTCAGCTACCTCTTGTTTGAAAGAGCTAAATAAGGCGTATTTTGCTGTATTGCCAGTTACTGATCATTCTCCTGAATCCACACATGCATTATATCCCTATAAACATCCCCATACTTCGTCTTGAAACTGTCTTGAACAGAGAACTGATTATAACAAATTACAATATTTTACACCAGATATATTTGCAGTAGTGTACATCCACTTTGCTGCTTCCAACTTATAAAAATTTGTATTTTTTATGAATGCAATATTTGAGTAAATACACAAAATTTGTGAGTGCACCAATTAAAAAAAAAGGCAAATGAAAGGCATAAAGGCAGGATTCTTACATAGAAGTAATGAATTTCATAAACCTATGCTAGAGAATGTCAGTTCCTTAAACTTAAGGAACATTTCTGCACCAAGGGATAAGGAACTATATTGGGTCTGCAAGCTGAATGTGAATTAACAGTATCATGCTGTTGTAGTAAATGGGCTGTACAACTGAAGAAATCTTTGTGCTATCTCAGCACTGGCAAGATCTCAACTAGGGGGAGAGTGCATATGAAAACCCAAGCACAATCAGTGGGCAGCAAGTCATGGGTTTAAATTGCGTCAAGAGAAATTTAGATCAAGTCATTAGGAAAAATGTTGTAATTGTAGTAAGAATTAAGCATTAGAATAGGTAACATTGGGAAAGTCTGGAGGGTTTTTAGAACGAACATCTGCCATGAAAAGTCACTGCTAGAAAATCGGGTTACGATGAGAAAACCTTTTGAAGTCTCTCCCAAGTTTTATTTTCTGATCCTTTTATTTTTTTATTTTTTAAAAATGTGGTTTATGAGGGATAAATATGCCACTAATGAAAAAAAAATCATTATCGTTAACCAAAAGCACTATTTTTAATTTAGAAAAATAAATAAGTGGCTAACTAATGTAATAGTTTTCATTGCTCTTCAAAGAAAAATCATCTCATGTGAAGAACAACAGTGGAATCTGTATGGAGAATTTAACCTTGAAGAAGGGCAATCACAGCAGTGTAAGTAATTGTTCTTTTTAGGTCCCCTGTTAGAGCAAACCAATGGATTAATTCTGTCTGTTCGCTGGCTGGAACTGTACATTTATAGAAATCTTGGTGGGTTCCCCAAAGGAGTCTAAATGTAATTAGCAACTAAACATTATACTTCTATCTTAATTCATTTACATGGGAACCGTGCTAAGATATCTGTGTCTGAGTCAGAGTGGACAGCTTTCCTCCATCTCCAGGGCACTCAACTGCAGCATCCCAAACAGCTTGTTCCTGTGCTCTGTCTTATCAAGTATCTGCATAGAACCACCGCAGAAGCAAAGCAAGGCATCATCTTTACTCTGAATTTAGCACAGTCCCCTTCAGGATTGCTCAGTGTGGCAGAACAATTAACTGAAGCTCAGTCTGGGCAAGTTTGAGATCATTTGTCTGAAAAGAGGAAGTCCTCACAAAAAAAATGAACTGGCATTTTTTTGTGTCCTCATTTGGGATGTGTGGCTTTCAACTGTCAAACTAATAGACTTATTATGATCTTGTTGAGAGAGCAGCTGTCCAAATTATCCCCGGCTTTAAAACATTTCTCCTCCTCCTATCTGGGACTAGCCAGAAAGACGGTACATGGAACTGTGGAACTCTGTAGTGGCCTGTGGGTTGTCTGTGGATTTGTTACTTTAATTACTGCAGCTCACTATACCAAGGAGCAAAACACACACACATACATACATATATATATATATGTCCTGGGGAAAAAATTAAATTGCTGGGGAAAAAATTAAATTGCTGCTAAACTCAGTAGACCACAGCTATCATTACTGTAGAGAATTTGGTTTAGAGCTATTCTGTCTGTACTAGCTAAACAATACATGCATTCCCTTCCCTTTTTAATTCAGGAGTTGGAACACAAATTCTGTGTCAGGTTGATGCTACCTCGGAGTAACTTCTGCCTTTCTTTTGAGGGATTACACCAGTTGCATTCCCCCACTTGCTCACTGAAGGAAGAACCTCAGAAGGGACGGACAAATACCTTGCCATTTTCAGAATCACATACAAAAAGCATCTCTCTTTCACTCACTCTTTTTCACCTCACCTTTTTTCACTCATGCCCATATCTTTAAATTTAACTATACTGACTTCTCGTTTTCACATTGTTGCTCTGCTACAAGGAGGAAAAGTGAAGGGAAGAGCTCTTCTTGGAGAGCATTTTTTAATATGAAAAACACTCAAGTATTTTGGTGATGAGGCATTATGCATTTCAATTAAGAGGATAAAAGGAGAAAACATGAGTGGTCTTTGTTCTGGGAAACAAAATACTGGCAATGGAGAATATGATTAACCAGTTCAACACATCATGAAGGGAGAATAAAAGTATTTATGAAATTGGGTCAAATTTAATAAATGGTTTCAGAAAAAAACATTTAGAAAGCAAATATATCTGGGAAAGACTAAGTATTTCATTACAGCATTTTCAGAACAAAACTATCAACGTTTCACTTCCAATTTAACTAACAAACCTAAAATAAAGAGGGAGTAAATAAGCTGAAGGCAAAATATTTTGTTTCTGGTCAAACCCCCTTCTCAGTTTATTGTTTTGCTGGGGAGCAAATGGAAAAAATGTGGGTTGATCCAAAATCAGTTTTTTTGGTTCAGCCATCATACCCACTGGCTTGGCTAACGATGCATAAAAATTCTGAGTAGATATCTGCCTCGTCCTCATTACTGCCTCATTGTTCATTACTGTATGCATTTGAGGGCAGCAGTGAACATACTTGACCTCTCAACATGGTCCCTTTTCTTTCTCGGGGCTTTAAGTTCTTCATTGATATTTATCCCCTTCAGAGTGCCACTGTGTTCCTTCACTGCATACAGTGAAGTGCTTCAGTGTAGGCATAAATATCGGGTTTTTACCCACACCTGGTACTGTCTGTACCGTTCTCCTTCTATTCACAGTCCACAGTAATAACAAACATCACTATTTTGTTGTTTTAATGATGTATATTTGTTTTAACAGGTAGTATATAAAGTAATAATCTTTCTGCATTTACTTAAGGTTACACAAATTCATATGAGCTTTCTTAATGAGAAATAATTCTGTGACAGCTAGTGATTAATAGAAATAATACTTTCATTCCTTCCCTAGAATAAGCAATACACAGTTCTGAGAATATGCAGAAAATATCAATGGCTTCAGTGTCTGATTTTCCATTTTCCCCCTCAGTTCTGTCTTTAATGAGAACTGAACGACATCTTCCCAAAAGTGACCTTGGTAGTTACAGTTTGCCAAATCCTTGCATTCACTATATTTGGTCTGGAAAACTAAGTAGTTAAATTTAATGAAAGTGAAATGACTGCAAACAAGGTTTGCAGGGGTATCACAGTTAAGAGAGTGCTAGAATTGACATATACCATTACTTGCCTAGATTCTCTCTCTCCCTGCCCCTCCTGGCTAATTCTGGATGAATTGAGGTGCTGATATGTTACCATATAAATATGTTCAAAGAGAACAAATAGAATGAGACCACGGCATCTGTGCAAATGCATCTGGAACACACTTTTTAGCTTCCAACTAGCCTTAAACCTAGCTCTATACACAGCTGCACAAACTAGGATGAAAGTCATAAATAAAAGCCTTTTAAAAAAGTTTTGTATTCTAAACTTAATGTGAAATAAAAAAAATACTAATCAATTATAGTACAAATATGTAGAGCTTCATTAACTTAGTGTTATGATCTGGTGATCAAGTGTTTGTATATGCAGCGTACAACACACACACATCTTCCTTCATAGAAGATTCAGGGTCAAAATCATTCATTTAACAGCACAGTGTTATTGTCCACTTAGCAAAAAAAAAAAAAAATTCTAGGCTAAGTTAAAAAAGGGTAATTCCTATTGAATTATTTCTATAGATACAGCTGTAAAATCCGGCGTAACAGCACACCCATCTCACAGTTCACAGGAGCTCTACAGAGCATAAATAAAAATCCGTATGTTCCCAGAAAACACCTTCCAGGAGATCAGTAAACTTCCAGAGAGGTTTGCAAGATTGCGTATCTACTTAGTGATTTCCAAAATAAGTACATGTCATCTCCTCTTCTTGCCATGCATATCTATGTAAACAATTTAAACTGTAATCTGTGATGCTCAGATGGTCTCTGTTAGTGTACTGTACAGACCAGCAGACCGATTTCATGACATACACTAGAAAAACTTGTGTTACAGGACTCGTACTGTTTTATGTGTTTTTTTCATCGGAGGTCTTTGTCCCATGTTGTGCCTCAGGGTGTTGGAAGGGTATTTGAAGAAAGTGCCAAGGAAAGAAAGGCAGTAAGATTTCTGAGAGAGATAAAGGCCATCTGATTCAACATGTTTGTCTTTTAAA